TTATATATTCCTTTTTTTTACTGGCTTGAGGTTAGGACAAGATAAAAGACCTAAGAACTCAAAAAACAGGCCAAGTTAAACTTTTTTATTTTAATATTTGAATATTTGAATATTATTTTCCTAATATTCACTAGAACACTATTCCAGAGTTTAGAAACAATATGGTAAAAAACTTATTCAACAGAGTTGTGAATTAATGGTAGTCCTTCCTCAGCTGTGCAAAGTGTTTTATCTGTCATAAGCAAGACTTTGTAGCCAATGTACATTTTAATAGACAGCCATTGTAGCTTGAATTCAAAAAATGCTCTGTGGGGTTTTTTCAGGTTAGGATGTGGGCTGCTGCAATCTGAACTAGCTGAAGCTAAACAGCAGCACTTTTCAATAGTCCAAAGTAGAAGTAATGAAAGCATGCACTAGCTTGTTAGGTCATGTAGGGTTAGCATATGTCTTATTTTGTGTTAGCGTGGATTATATTTTCTGTATCTCGGTTGTAGAGATGTTACTTACATGTCAATCTGGGGTCCCTGGAGGACTAGTGGTTAGGCCTTGGTGCTCTCACTGCCGCGGCCCGGGTAACATTCCTAGCCAGGGAACCAACCCCAGCCACTAGGGTTGCACAAGACAGTGCACTCACAGTGCCAGTTCCAAGCCCAAATAAAATTGGGGAGGGTTGCATCAGGAAGGGCACCCAGCATAAAAACTGTGCCAAATCAAATGGACCAATGATCCGCTGTGGCGACCCCTAATGGGAGCAGCCAAAAGAAGAAGAACAACAACAACAACAGCTTACATGTCAATCTGGGAATCATGTTTAGTGTTACACGAAGACCCAAGCTTTTGCTTTCACATAGCCATCAAGCTCAAGGGTGTAATCAGCAACCTTACTGTGGGGAGACTTTTTTAATCACTTAGGGGAAGGAAGTTTCTGGTCTTTCAAGCTTTTGTGTCTATTACAGCCATTTTGTACAGCTATGCAACTGAATCTGGCCAAACTGATAAGCGTAGTTACACTGTGTGGCCATGTGGCTGTTGGGATTTGCCCATTCAGCCATAAGAACATTAGTGAGGTCAGGCACTGATGTTGGACAAGTAGGCCTGGGGCGTAGTCAGCATTCCAATTCATCCACTTCATTCCAACTTCGTTCTTCCACTCCAACCTTGTCAAACCATGTCTTCATGGAGCTTGCTTTGTGCAAAGGGGCATTGTCATGCTGGAACAGGTTTGGGCCTCTTAGTTCCAGTGAAGGGAAATTGTAATTCTACAGCGCACAACGACATCCTATACAATTGTGTGCTTCCAACTTTGTGGCAACAGTTCAGGGAAGGCCCACATATGGGTGTGATAGTCAGGTGTCCACATACTTTTGGCCATACAATGTATGTATCATCAGCATAGGAATAAAAGTCAACATTATGTTTGTGAATGATATGTCCAAGGGGCTGGAAATAGAGGGATAATAGGGAGCCAGGCAAGAAATTGTCTAAACCGAATGTGTTTCTAAGCCTGTCCATTAAAACATGGTCAGTAGTGTCAAATGCTGCATTTTAGTCCAGCACTACTGAAACAGAAGATATCCACAGTCTAAGAAATGCAGTAGGTCATTTATCCAGCACTGATTCTGTACTATGATGCTTCTGGAAACCAGACTGAAATACATGATGCTTATTATTCCTACTGAAAACAGAACAGAGCTTTCTTAAGAAATGGCTTAAAAGCGGCTGTCTTAAAAAATTAGGGATAGGTACATGTCAGCAATAGACACACACGCTCTAGATGTCCTCACAGGAAAGTAATTTCCATTCGTGTCAGTAAAGACAAGGTCACTATGAGCAGTTGACAGTGTGAGCACCCACACTTTGGCATTTCAAGCAGACTTTATTCTGGTTTAGCTACTCTTATCTACTGGCCTATATTTGTACAGTGTGTGCATGAAAATAATGTTGACAGTTGACTGCACGCAGTCTGATTGTTTGGTCTCTGTGTCCTGACAGGTGATGCTTTCAGTGAGGAGGCAGAGAGGAAGTTTGAGAAATACCCTGGACAGCTCAATAATGAGATCTCCTAATCCATACATCATACATTCATCTCATACATTATACCTTTTAATTTGGACTGGATCATATACAGTATATTACCCAGGTTACAGAGTAAGGATCTCTCTTACTCTTTTCATGTTCACACTCAAGGAACAGGCAAGGTCTGTCAGAGGGAATGCTAAAGGAAATCCCAGCAATGACATTCATGGTGTTAGCCCAATTGACCTTGCCATCCTGAGAGTCACAGGGGTTTGAATCCTGAGCTTGTTAAGTAGTGTTTTATCAAAAAAAAAAAAAAAACATCACAGTTATCATACATGTACCTCATTTTGCAGTATGGGCATTAGTCTTTAAGATATAATAATCAGAAAATAACCTAATCTAGTGATTCACAGAGTGTGTACCATGCATTTATTCACTCCACAGGCATAGTTTATGTTTATGGTGCTAAATGTTGACTGCCAAAAAAGTATTACACAAAAAATGTGCAACTGTGACAGTTGTGTTCTACTTGAAAAATGTATTTTCATCACATAGGAATAATTCAGCTGAAACAGCTTTATTTCATATGAACATCATCAAAACATTACATAAATGAACAGTATCTTAAAAAATATTTCCTATAATGCCATTCTTACTGAGGGTCTTACTGAGACAGACCTTATCAAAGTAATGAATGTTTTTTTTTTTTTTTTCCTGTCCAACTTTTATTAATGTTTTTAGGCCAATTCCTGGGTTTAAAAGCATTATGTACTTTTCTGCAGGTATTGTAAAATTATGTTGCATATTCATGTTTTTTTTTTTTAAACAAAAACTTATTTATACTTTTAACTACAGGAACCACACAAGATAGTAAACGAACAAATGTTTTTTTTTTTTTTACTTTTAATTATACGTACCTAAGTAAATTGCTTTTTAATTTATGAAATCTTGCTGACTGGCTCCTGACATTTCACATTACCTGCTTTTGTGTAGAGAACATTCCTATGAGTAGATTGTGCAAGATAAGGCATTCATTAACACTTGAAATAGGTTATTTTTATTTTTTGTTCCATACAGAATTGTAGTCAAAGGTATATCAATTTATAACATAACATATGCCAAAGTGTGCACTAAAGACCTGATGTACAGGTGCATTAGGAGCACTCGTGGTCTTCTGAAAATTTATGAGAAACATTTCTCAAACACTGTTTTAAACGTAGCCATTCTCTGCTACTTTAAAGGAAAAAATGTTCAAGTGTATGTTAAAGACTTCAGTGATAAAATAAGTGATAAAAATCTGGGCCATCTTTGTCTTCATGCTGAACTTTCTAGCTGTAAATTGGGCCATTTTTAAGAACAGACAATTTGAAATGAGAAAGAAAGTGTGGACTGATGTGTTGACATGGTTTTCTCATACAAGTGTATAATATTCAAATACACACACACACACCAATTTTTTTCCATTTCTAAGGCTCAAATGTGCTCACAACATCATTTCAATGGCTTTCTGTGCAACTCATTTACACATGGATGCCTGTTCAAAACTTTGCAAACTACTAGCCTTCGTTCACAATGTGTTTAAAGTCTCATATTTTTGTCTGTTATTCCAATATATTGTCTAAAATTTGTGTTTGTGCACATCTGCCCCATCACATCACTGTTTCAATAAGCCACATTAACTGAGCAAAAATGAATCCCGAGAACCATCGAGCATGTGACATTTTCAAATCAGAATTTAATTGAAACTCATTTCTAACATACACTCAAGCCTAGCCATCTGACATCCCTTCAGAACCTTCCACATCCTAATCATTTTTTAAAATCTTCCTCTGTGTATATTTCTCTTCTGCAAGTTTTCCATAAGGCAAAATACTGAATCTGGTTTATGTTATTCTGTGAACTCAGGGGTCATGTGCAGCATTAGGAGGTCTTGACCTCTGCGCACCACCATGTTGATGCTGTCACTTGTCCGTACTGCGTTGTAGATTTCTTCTGATGTGTTCACCTTTACCCCGTTGACTTCCACTACAATGTCACCTGGTTTCATACCCGCTCTGACACACACACAGAACACAAAATGAGGTCACATGACAACATGATGTTTATAAACCATATTCTACATTTACACACATATACACTCACCGTTCACTTTATTAGGAACACCTGTACACCTGCACATTCATACAGTTATCTAGTCACCCAATCGTATGGCAGCAGTGCAATGCAAAAAATCATGTGATACAGGTCAAGAGCTTCAGTTATTTTTCACATCAAACGGCAGAATGGGGAAAAAGTGTGATCTCTGTGACTTTGATCGTGGCATGGATGTTGGTACCAGATGGGCTGGTTTGAGTATTTCAGAAACTGCTGATCTCCTGGGAAGATCAGTCCAGTTTCGGTGAGTCCGTGCCCATGATAGCCTCAGGTTCCAGAAGTGGAACCGGATGTGATGTTCTGCTGTTGTAGCCCATCCACCTCAAGGTTTCATGTGTTGTGCATTCTGAGATGCTTTTCTGTTCACCATGGTTTTAATGAGTGCTTATTTGAGTTACTATAAACTTCCTGTCAGCTTAAACCAGTCTGGTCATTCTCCTCTGATCTCTCTCATCAACAAATACTCAAACCAGCCCATCTGGCACCAACAACAATGCCATGGTTAAAGTCAAGCAGATCATACTTTTTCCCCCATTCTGATGTTTGATGTGAACATTAACTGGAGCTCTTGACCTGTATCTGCATGATTTTATGCATTGCACGGCTGCCACATGATTGGCTGATTAGATAACTGCATGAATCAGTAGGTGTACACGTGTTCCTAATAAGTTGCTCAGTGAGAATATATAAAAGATATTAACACAGGCTAATTTAAAATCAATGTACAGAGCTTTTATTCTTACTTTTTATATGTTTAAAATGAACATTGTCAACAGAGATGATAGCGTATTAATTTTGTCTGGTTTAAGCTAAAAGTACAATGGCAGTCCCTGGAAGGCTAGTAGTTAGGCCTCGGGGCTCTCACCGCTGCGGCCCAGGTTCAATTCCTGGCCAGGGAAGCAACCCCAGCCACTGCTAAAAGCAGCCGAAAGAAGAACAAACTAAGAGTACAAATGGTGTAAAATTGTGCTGATAACATGCTCAAATGAAGTGCTTTTATTTGTGCTTTAATGCAAGTATTTTTTTAATGTAAGTTTTAATGCAAGTATTTACATGAAACTCTTTGTAAGAGTTGTGAGTTTTCAAAAAGTTGTGAGTTTTCTCTTGATAGATTATGTTTTAGAACTATGTTTCATTTGCATACATCCTCATTTTATGGTCCTTGAAGTGCTGTTCAAAGTTGTTGTTTTTTTTGCATGTAGTTAGCAATGTTTTGTTTATTTATATTAATCTTTTCTATTGTATTGTAAACATTGTAAGCATAGATAGGAATACGTAAATATGGACTGGTGCTGACAAAATATAAGGATGTGAAATGGCATTCTGTACACATATTAGGAGGAAAAAAAGATAATTTTTTATACTGAGTCAGATTTAATTAATTGTGATATACAACCCCTGGTAAAAATTATGGAATCACCACACTTAGAGGATGTTCACCCAGCTTTTTTACTTTATAGCAAACAAATAAATCATAGATATGACACAAAAAGGTTTTGTTCAATAGCTTAACATTCTGGCTTTGTGAAACATACATCAAAAAAATTCACTGACTTTTTTTTTTATTAATGGCATGTCTTTTTCCAAATCAAGTAGAGGAAA